GAGGGTGGGACTACAAGTCCCAGCATGCCTGGGGGGGGGGGGGGCCAAGATGGCCACCAGAGTGTGGGGGGACTACGAGTCCCAGGGTGCTTTGGGGTCAACCAATATGGCCACCATGAGGGGACTACAACTCCCAGCATGCCCTGGTGCTTCCAATATGGCTGCCAGGAGGGGACTACGAGTCCCATCGTGCTTTGGGGTGAGCCAAGATGGCCGCCAGAGCGTGAGGGAACCACAACTCCCAGGGTGCTTCGGGCCGACCCAAGATGGCGGCCTCCACATTCCCCTCATGGGGGCGGCCATCTTGGTCGCCGCCATCTTGGTGGGCGTGTCCAACTCTTCTCTCCTCCCCCCAGCGCTCGTGATCTGCCCGGATCAGACCCGCCATTGGCTGCAGGAGCTCGGCCCCGCCCTCCGCGCCCTGTCGGGGGCGGGCTCCGTCGAGCTCCTCCCCCCGGGGGCGGAGCCGGGCCCGGGGTGGGCGGCAGCTCCCGCTGGGGATCGAACCTGGGCCTACCTGGGCCTGCAGGTGAGGGTGGGGCCAGAGGGGTCAGGGGCGGGGCCAAAGGGGATTTTGGGGGGCTGGGGGGTCCCAAACCTTGGAATTTTCCCCCCCTCTGGGCTCTGAGGGGTTTTGGGACCCCCCCGGACGGGGGGGTCCCAAAACCCCTCAGAACCCGGGGGGGGGGGGAAGACATTTTTCCCCATTTTTCCCCATTTTTCCCCATTTTTCCCGTTTTTTCCCGTTTTTCCCCATTTTTCCCTTTTTTAGGGCCTTTCCGACCCCGCTCAGACCCGGGAGCAGCTCCGGGCTCGGACTTTGAGGGTCCAGCGGCGCCTCCAGACCCTCGGGGAGTCCCCAAAAGGGTCCGACCCCCCCTCGGGCTCCTCAACCCAGCACCAGGTGCCTCGTTAGCGTTAATTAGGGGTTAATTAGGGGCCGGTGAGGTGCTAATTAAGGTACTCTCAGAGGGAGGGGGGCGGGTCCTTGACCTCCTTAATGGGGCGGCCTAATTAGCGCTGCCCTAATTAGTCGCTGGGTGGTTGTTGTTGTTGTTAACTCCTAATTAGTTCCTGATTAACTCCTTGTTAGTTCTTAATTGACTCCTAATTAACCATAATTAAGTCCTAGTTAGCTCTTAGTTTCTGCTTCGTTAATGCCTAATTAACTCCTTATCCACTCCTTTTTAACTGCTCATTAACTCTTAATTAGCACCTTATTAGCTCTCAATTAGCACCTTATTAACTCTTTATTAATGCTTAATTAACTCCTTTTAAACTCCCAAGTCCTAATGAACTTGCTTATTATCTCTTAATTAACTCCCATTTGGCTCTTAGTCAGCTTTTTATTAACTTCTAATTAACTCTTAATTGGTGTTTTATTTCCTCTAATTAACTCACTGCTTATTAAGTCCTAATTAACCCGTAATTATCTGCTAATTAACTCAGGATCGATTCAGCTCCTAATTAACTCCTTATTAACTTAAAATTAATTCATAATTGGTGTCTTTATAACTTTTAATTGATTAATTCCTTATGTATTCCTAATTAAGCTATAATTAACCCCTAATTAACCACTAAATAACTCAATTCCTAATTAACTCCTTAATAACTTCTAATAAACTCTTAATTGTTGCCTTTTTAACTTCTAATTAACTCCTAATTACCTCTAAATTAATCAATCAGTTCCCAGTTAACTGCTGGTTAATTGATGAGCAGGTTGTTCCCCCCTAATTAGCGCTAATTAGTGCTAATTGCCCGCAGGTGTCCCTGCTGGAGGCGGAGCTTTCCCGGCTGGAACGAGCCCTGGAGGCCCTGGAGCCCCTCGGGGACCCCCCCGGGCCAATAAACCCCCCTAATTAACCCCCCCGGCCTCGTTAGTGCTCATTAAGCGCCGGGAGGGGGCGTGGCTTGGGGAGGAGGGGGCGTGGCTTGCGGTGAGGGGCGTGGCATGAAGGGGCGGGGCCTGAGGGACCCCAAAGTGTAAGAATCCCCCCCAAAACCTCCTTAATTACGCCCCAAACTTCGTTAGCCCTAATTAAGGAGGTGCCCTTTAATGCGGGGGGCGGGGCTTGGGGAAGGGGGAGGGGCTTGGGGAAGGGGGGCGGGGTTTGTTTCCAGGCCACGCCCCCTCCCAACTGGGTCGCCGGAGAGCGGCGGGAGCTGCCGGGACCCCGAAACTGGGCTGAGAAACCCCAAATTTGGGGTCTGGGACTCCAAAACTGGGGCTGGGACCCCAAAATTGGGCCGAGAGATCCCAAGATTGGGCTCTGAGACCCCAGAATTGGGATCTGAAACCCCAAAATTTGGATTGAGAGACCCTAAATAGGGTTCTGAGACCCCAAAACTGGGGTCTGGGACCCCAAAATTGGGCTGAAAGACCCCAAAATTGGACTGGGAGACACCAGAATTGGGCTTTCAGACCCCAAAATTTGCATCTGGGACCCCAAATTCGACTCAGAGACCCCAAAAATTTGGGTCTGGAACCCCCAGCTTGGGGCGGGGGACCCCAAATTGGGCTCGGGGACCCCAAAACTGGTCTCTGAGACCCCAAAATCGGACTCTGAGGCCCCCAAAATTTGCATCTGGGATCCCAAAATTGGGCTGAAAGACCCCAAACTCGGGCTCAGAGACCCCAAACTCGGGCTCAGAGACCCCAAACTCGGGTTCTGAGAC